CAAGGCATTACATTCCAGCCCAATTACAGTCTCGCAAACCCACTTTACAATATTATTAGGGTTGTTCCCATTCCTAGACTATGGTCAGTGAGGATTCCCCGGTGACTCAATCCATGTAGGGACCCTGCCAATGGAGTTTGTGTTTCCACGATCATCCGTACTGCTCTGAAAACCAGGTGTTTAGAATTTAGGTGCTGGTATCATTCCCACCTCTGGGTTTGGATTTTATTTACACCCTTTGGCTCACACACGCTGGTGTGCTTTTCTTGGGTGGACTTAAGTGACTCATCACTTAGATGGCTGCTTGTTTGGAGAAAAGTCTTTCAGACCTCAGACTCTATTGTTTTTTTTTCTAAAAGCCTGGCACCATTTGATTTCTTTACCGCACTTGGCTATAGCACCCATATATTCAGTGATTGCCTCATGAGGGTGAGTCCTGAGCAGGACCGTGTCTGAGTCTGCAAAACTTTATCGGAAGAGAAAGTCTTGCAAAACTTTATCGGAAGAGAAAGTCTTATTTCTCCCACCAAGCAACTGGTAGTTTCAAACTGCTAACCTTTTGGTGAGCAGCCCAGGTAATAACTCACTACACCAACAGAGCTTTTCCCTACACTGATGATAACTTCTTAAGAACAAAAACCTTATTTCCAAACCGATCAGATGCACAAGGACTGGGTTGAGAATCCCTACATATGTTGGAGGGCTGGTACATCTAGTCACCCTAGATGATTTGGGTTTGGCCCCACTCTTAAACCTTACAAACCGCATCCTTGAGGTTGCTCTCTGGAACAACGGAGATCAGGCTTTTAGACCTGTAACTGATGAAAAAATACGACATTTCCATCCTTTCTTATATTTCAAGTAAAAGTGAACAGGGGGAAAGAAAAAAATGGATGATTTTTTGACTTTCTTTTATAAACCCCTTCTACTAAGCATCTTTCAAAACAATTCCCATGACATTTCCTTCCGAAGGGTTGTTGATCAACCACATTTGTGCCCACCGCCCCTTGGGGAATCAGTGGAAGTTAAAAGGTACCATTGGTTGTTGAAACTCCGCCGCAGCATGGAGGGCCAGGAATGGAGTTAAAAGCAATACACACTGCTGTGCTTTTAATGCCCCACCTGATTGTAGTCTACAGTTTGCTACAAATGCGAACCGCATTTAGTGCCCAGGAGGTTTTTAATCCCACTGTGCTGGGATTCTACAGCTTCCAGGGACCCTTTGAGAAGGAAGGAAATACAATGGCAGCAGTGCTTGAGGTGGGGTGGGGAGGGGGGTACGGATTAAGGGCCTGGCAGCCTGTTTGAAAACATGGCTTTTCACCTGAAATGGAGTTTGATATGAAGGATTATAAGCATGCATGCATGCTGGGAATCCTAACTATGCCATTTCAAAATTTTATGTGCGGACGACTTCATTCCTTAAATGGTGGGGGGAATGAAGCTTTGAACTGTAGATGATAACCCACCCACTACAATTGAATCAATTCCAAATCACAGTAACCATACAGGACAGGGTAGAACTGCCCCTGTGTGCTTCTGAAACTGTAACTCTTTACAGGAGTAGAAAGCCTTGTCTTGCCCTTAAAGGAGCCCTGGTAGCATCGTGGTAATGTGTTGGACCGCACATCTCAAAGTCAGCAGTTCAAAACCACCAGCTACTCTGAGGGAGAAAGATGAGGTTTTCTACACCTGTAAAGATTTACCATCTGCAAAACCCACAGGGCATTCTACCCTGCCATTTAGGGTCCATGTGAGTTGGAATCCACTTGATGGCAGTGGGTTTTTTGATTTGGGCTTTTTGAGGGCTTTCAAAACAAACCCTTTTCTGGGCGTGGCAATGAGGACCGTTTCTTGTTAGTGGTGAGTCATTTATTTTCCAATCAGCCTCTCCCATAGAACTTTCTGCGATGCTGGAAATCCCTGTAACCTGCACCCTCCAATATGACAGTCCCTAGCCACCCTTGGCTACAGTGCACTTGAAACGTGACTAGAGGCATCAAGGGACTGAATGGTAACTTTCAGTTCATTTTAACTGATTGAAATATAGATTGCCACGGTGTCGTGTGGCTGCCACAGTGAACAGTGCTCTTTTAAACCTCTCTCCTCACTCCAATGTCAGGAGCCCACAGGGCTCCCTGGCCTGGGTCAGTGCCAGGGAAGTTGCTTTATTTCCGGTCATCTAGGGAATTGAAAAGGAGCCCTGGGTGTGTGTGTGTGTGTTTGGGGGTGGGGTGTTACAGGTTAGACTGTTAACTGCAAAATCAACAAGTTCTGAGTGACAGTCTTGGAAACCCACAGGGGCAGTTCTACCCTGCCCTAGAGGGTCGCTATGGGTCGGCATCGACCGCATGGCAGTGAGTGCGAGTGAGAGGGAGCTGAAAGGAACTTCCACAGCCCCATCCTGTGCTAGCTCTGACACACAGAACCAGGAAGGAATCTACAGTTGAGTGAGAGGAGTAAGATACATCAGAATTTGGGTTCACTGTTGTTTTCTTTTAAGGAGCCTGGTGGCATTATGGTTATGCATTGAGCTGCTTAATCACAAGGCCAGCAGTTTGAAACAACCAGCTGCTTTTCAGGAGAAAGGGAGGCTTTCTACTCCCATAAGAGTTACAGTCTCAGAAACCCAAGGGAGCAGTTCTGTCTTATAGGCTCTCTATGAGTCAGAGTTGATGGTAGCCAGTTTGGATTTTTGCTTTTTTCCCCCCTTTTAACATTCTTCAGCTATTCTTTTCTCCTTTTCTCACAAGAGAAATGTGTTTGTTTATTTTTCCTGAAGGAGGCAAGTGATGATCCAAACCAGAAAACATGGATCGCCTTTATGATTTTGTTGGTTTATTAGTAGTCGATATGTTTAGAGTAATAAATAGTTGTTTTCTCACCTCTCAGTATAGTGTTTCTGTGATTATACCCTCTCCTCTCTTAAAAAAAAATCTACAAATGAGTAAAAACGTGGCTGAGGTTGGGGGATGGTAAGACATAAGAAACCCCCTGGCAGTACTGTTTCCATAGTTCAGGAGAACCCTGGCTAATCAACTTGTGGATGTCGTGGGAGTCACACAGGAGGGACCCCACGCTGAGCGCACGACTAGAGTAAACGCAGAATTTCAGGGCTGTTTATGGGGAAGGTGGATTTTTAAGGGAAGCCAAAAAGGTGACATGTATATCACGAAGCAGATGAATTTTGCATATGACTTGAGACTCTGGAGGTTGCCTGAGCACCTCGTGTATTTCTAATTTGAAAATATACCAATCATGTGCAAATTATTACTCAGATGCTGGAATCCATGAGAGAGTGTGTGTGGAAAGGAAAAACCTCATGTTGCTGACCCGTAAATCCCAATGAAGATTGGGGCTGATATATTGTCAAGGCAAGATTAGAGAATCCATTACCTGTTCTTTTCCTTCTGTACACGGCTGGGTGTCTCCTGGGTCTTGAGCCAGCATGAGTGCAAGCTCCCTGTGGAGCTTTGGCGGTGGGACAATGGGCTGATCCTCAATGGAGGAGCTTGGGTGGTCCTCAGAAGAAGCTAGCATTGGACATGCAGCATCAGGGGTCTGCAGCGACAGTCTCTGTTCTGTAGCCCTTATGCTGTGCCAAAGGAAACAGTTTTCATGCTCCAGATGACAAATGACAGGACTCTTGAGTAGCCAGGTACTGTTTGACGCTGTGGGCACTGGAGAACCAATGAAGATCAGAAGAATTAGGACAAGATGATGCTCAACTTCATGTCCATTAAGATTTAGGTCCGAGGATAACGAGAGTAATGTACATGGGCTCAGGAACTCCGACTTTCTTTCTTTTTTTAAATACTTGTATTGGGGCTCTTACATCTCTTATCACAATCCATACAGTCATTCATTGTGTCAAGCACATTTGCATATATGCTGCCATCATCATTTTCAAAGTATTTTCTTTCTACTTGAGCCCCTGGCATCAGCTCTTCATTTTCTCCCCTTCCTCTCCCAACCGCCCTTCCTCATGAACCCTTGAGGTTACAGATTATTATTTTCATATCTTACATTGTCCTTTGTCACCCTTCACCCACTTTTCCATTGTTTGTCCCCCTGGGAGGGGGTTATATGTTGACCCTTGTGAGCGATTCCCCCTTTCTCCCCAGCACTCTCCCCTAATCCTCTTGGTATCTCTACTCTCATTGTTGGCCCTGAAGGGTTTATCTATCCTGGATTCCCTGTTTTTCAGGCTCTTATCTGTAGCAGTGCGCATGTTCTGTTCTGATCTGATTTGTAAGGTAGAATTGAGGTCATGATATTGGGGTGAGGGGAAAGTTAGCATTAAAGAACTAGAGGAAAGCTGTGTGTTTCATCGGTGCTATACTGCATCCTGACTGGCTCATCTCTTCCTTGTGACCCTTCTGTGAGGGGATGTCCAAATGTCTACAGATGGGCTTTGGGTCTCCCTGGCTTTCATTTTGACTTCCATTTGTTAATCTAACACTTCTAGGAACACACACCTGGTGAGGAAAGGGGGCAGAGGCAAGAAAGCCACCAGCTTTTCTGGCTTTAGTTGGCTTCAAAAGAGTCTCAATTTCCCTATAAATGGAAACGCTTTCATAAAGTTTTAGAGATAGTCACTTCCAATTTAAGAGGAAAGGAAGCCATCAGTTTCTCTGGAAAAAGACCTTGGTGTGTGGTTGGACGGACCTCTCCAGGGAGTGATTATAAAGGGCCCCTGCAGGGATGAAGATTGAGCTGCTAACTGCAAGGTCCGTGGTTCAAACCCAGGAGAGAAAGATAGTGTTGTCTGCTTCTGTAAAGATCGACAGCCTCAGAAAATCTAGAGAGAGTTGCAATGAGTTGGAATTGACATTTTGGCAGTGGGTTTGGGTTTTGGGTTGTGATGAGAAGCTGATAATAATATACCTTAGATACTAGAATGTTTCGTAATCTTTTTCCTGTGTGGGGGTTAATGATGGAAAGTGTTTGGGATTGTGAATGGAATCATTGTCTGATTTTGTTTTTGTCATTCGGTTTAGGGACAATTACAGCGATGCCAGTGATGACAGCATGTCAGGACCAAAGGTAGCTGAGCTGGAACGAAACTGAAACTGATGTGGGAAATGGAGGGACTTCCTGAGAAGGTAACAACAAACTTCTAAGGTTCTGTTTGGTTTGCAGAACCATTGTCAACTTAGTGTGGAAGGAGATGTGGGAGGCTGGATGGCTTTTACAGGATCCTGTACCCTCAGGATACTCGCATCGTTAGCAGGAGAGACTTAAAAAAGGCTTCATTGCCATCTGATTCACATCTCATACAATTCAAAAGTTCAGTCGTATGTGGAAGCATTGTACAATCACCACCACAATCACTTCTAGAATATTGTCTTCTTTCTTGAACTCATTGTTAGCAGCTTTCCATTCCCCCCTCACCTCCCCTAGCAGGAGAGAATTGATGGCCTCTGGAGCCCAGCCCTGGATGTGGAGCTGGCATGTGGAAAACCGGAATGTACTGGAGGCCGGGAATAAAGCGCTACGGAGCCCTAGCGGTGTCGTGGGTTATTCACTGCCTGCTAGCCACAAGGCCAGCAGCTCGAACCCACCAGCCACCTGGAAGGAGAAAGATGAAGCTTTATACTCCTAGAATGAATTACACAGCAGTCCTAATGGTGGCGTGCTAGGTTGGGCAGCTAACTGTATGGCCACCAGTTCTAAACCACCAACTAGTCCACAGGAGAAAGACGAGGCATTCTACTCCCACAGAATGTGGGAGTCTCAGACATCCACCCTGTTCTGTAGAGCTGCCACAAGTCAGAATTGACTCAATGACAGTGGCTTTTTTTTTTTTTTGTATTTTTTTTTGTTTTGTTTTTTTTTATTTAAACATTTTATTAGGGGTTCATACAACTGTTATCCCAATCCATACACACATCAATTGTGTAAAGCGTATTTGTACATCATTTCTCAAAACATTTTCTCTCCATTTAAACCCCCGACATTAGGTCCTCATTTTTCCCCTCCCTCCCCACTCCCCCCTCCCACATGAGCCCTTGATAGTTTATAAATGGGTATTTTGTCATATCTTGCCCTGTCCGACTTCTCCCTTCATCCACTTTTCGGTTGTCTGTCCCCCAGGGAGGAGGTCACACACAGTTCCATGTAATCGGTTCCCTCTTTCCTACCCATTCTCCCTTTACCCACCCTGTTTTGCCACTCACACCACTGGTCCTATGGGGCTCATCCATCCTGGATTCAAAAACCGTATCCTCAGAGGTTGTCGTGGCTAGATTTATTGCAGTCTAGGTCAGAGGTTGGCAGATATTTTTTGTAAAGGGGCAGACAGGAACTCTTTTAGACTATGCCTGTAAGGCGGTCTCTGTTGCAACCACTCAGCTCTGCTGTAGCTGCCTCAGTCAGGATTTAGAAGGGTGGGTGTGTCTGTGTTTCAATACAACTTTATTTCCAAAGACAGTTTACTGCTCCCTTGGTCTAGGTCCCTCTTGGAAAAGGAGCGTCCCTTGGATTTGTAGAAGATACAATAATATTTTATTTATTTTTACAGGAGCCTGGCTTGGTTTCTAAGGACAGACAAGTTCTGTACACCCACCCCCCAGCTCTCATTTGCTTCAGGGGAGAGGAGAGCAGGTTGGATAGCTTTGTTTTATTGATGCTCAGAGACAGGTAGTACCTGGAATCATCCTATGGATTGTGGCAGGCCTTGAATTGAATGAACTTCTCAGCAGGGAAACCCTATTTATAGAGTATGGGAAGTCTTCAGATTATACTCAGGGACACAAACACTGCCATCGAGTTGATTGTGACTCATGGTGACCCTATAGGACAGGGTAGAACAGCCCACATGGGTTTCTGAGCCCCTAATTCTCTCATGGGTGTAGAAAGCTTGATCTTTCTCCTGAGGAGCGGCTGCTAGTTCAAATTGCTGGCCTTGTAATTAGCAGTCCACGAAGTAACTGTTAGGTGTCCGGAGTGGGATATACCTTGGTTCTTGCTCCACGGCGCTGAAAGAATTCACGTTGCAGAAGCACATTTGTAATCCAAGTGAGTTCTTATGAAGGACAGGGAACGTTTCAGGTTTTACAGTCTCAAAAGGGTACACGCTATTTCTGGAAAGCGTGCCAAGCTTCATGGAAGGTGTGCTGGGGTTCACAACTGGGCATGAAAACCCACGTGGAAAGAATACCGGGACAGGAGCGGGGAAACCCACACCTGCGGAACTGGGGAATCCCCAGGGGGACCAAGAGGCCAAGGGCATGCGGGCCCTGAGAAGGCCCTTAGCAGGCCCTGAGGGAGCACACAGGCATGTGTGTGCTCACAGGTGGGAGAGAGCTCCCCGCCTTCCGCCTGCATCTGAACAGGAGCAGAGTAAAAAGAGAGACGTGGCCTTCTCGCAGCCCGGGTATTTAACGCCTCTGGCTGGGGAGTCATCGTTGGAGGTATTGGTTGACCCATTGGCTGAGTTTAAGCCCACTTGTGTGATGTACCTAAGGTGGGTGTGCCCAAGTTATTGGTTTTACCTGGGCCTAGGGAGCTAAGTTTGCCCAAGTCCAGTTTGGATCTTTCCCATCGGTGTCTAATTGGCATCCCTGATCTCTTTCCAACCCCTGTATTGCATGACCCTTTGCAGACAGTGGAGAGATGACCCCCGCTGTCCCTAATCTACCAACCGAGTATAATGAGACTATGCAACCCTGGCTTCTTAAAAGAAAAAAGTGACCCCCCTAAATTTGATATAGATTCACTCATCTCATGACTCAGATGTGGATTCCTCATGGGTCTCGGCAACATTTTGTGTCATAGCAAAGGAAGTTGCATTCAACTGCCTCTTACTCTCACTGCCTTGGAGTTGATTTCAACTCAGAGCAACCCTACAGAACAGTGTAGAGCTGCCCCTGTGGGTTTCAGAGGCTGTCCCTCTTTATGGGAGTAGAAAGCCTCATCTTTCTCCTGAGGAGGGGCAGGTGGTTTTGAACTGCTGACCTTGAGGTTAGAAGTCTAGCAGTGACTACTATGCCACCAGGGCTCCTTGTTCAGTTCACCAGGAGAGAGCTGATCTGTGGCTTTACATACAATTAGTAGCACACACAGAGAAAGTTAGGGGCCAACCAAATGGGGCAAGAGGTTAGTTGGAGATCGATCCAAGACTTGTGTGCTTCTGTTCTGGAGATTGGCAATACTTACATGCTTTGTCTTTCTTGTTTTGTTTTTTTTCTTTAAGCTTCTGAAATACTTGAAAGACCTATCTGAAGAGATCACCACACAAGTTTTCAACAAACATGGATGACAAGTCTCAAACGAAACAATCCTACCTTTTCCCCCCGGAATCAGATCAAACGGGACCATTTTCTTTTCCCTCCAAGATGATCTCAGTCATCACAAATGCTACGCATTGATTAAATGTCTCCCAACAATCTCCTGGGGGAGAATGTGTGGTGTCTTTTGTCCGGAGTATGGTGAAAACAGGACGGTGAGCAAGGCTCTTCGGGAGTTGAACCTTTGTGCTAGGCCTTGAGTGCTATGAGTCACTTTGAGTCAGAAATCAGTCAGTTTTCCATTTTTCTATTCTGTTGCTCGAGAAGCAACTGCAGACCGGCGTGCAACCCAAGTTCATTACGCTTCCCCACCTTGTTTATGCCCAAATCCAGCTAGAAGAACTATCCAACAGGCCCCTGCTTGGGACATGGCAAGTAAGGCACATGCCTCAACATGTAAGGGCCACCCCAGAACTCAAGAATCAAGATCAATCCCATGCATACACAAATCTTTAAAAAATCTTGCTCAAAGAATCATTCACATAGAGTAGGGTTCTCCACTTCCATCAGACATGACAATGATTCTCCCTCCCCTGCTCCATCACCAATCTGTTGTCTCCATGGAGCTACTATTTTTCCTTAGGTATTTTCTATAAGTGGCTCATACATGATTTGCCCATTTGTGATGGGCTGATTTCAGTTTTCAAGGGTAATTCATGGCATAGCACGTATGAGAACTTTATTTCTCTTTTTGGCTGAGTAGTAGTCCACTGTGTGTATGGCACCGCATTTTGGTGATCCATTCATCTCTTGATGGACCTTTAGCTGATCCCCACATTTTGGCTTCAGTGGACTTTGCTGTATATGCGTCCTTTGGAGTCGCTGCTTTGAATTATTTTGGATCTCTATTTAGGGGAGGAATGGCTGGGCCATGTAATACATTACATGTAGTACATGCTTTAATTTTAAGGAATTGCCAAATTCTTTTCCATAGTGGCTGTGCAATTTTACCTTCCTGCCAACAATGGACAAGGGGACTTAAAAAATCGAGAAAAATGTCATAATCTTTTCATTCCATTTTTTCCATGACTTTTTTGAAGCCCCCTTCATAGGAGTGTTCTGATTTCTCCATAGCCTCCTCAACATTTGTTTTCCATTTTTCTATTAGCCACCCTTGCAGGTGCAAGATATATATATATCTCCCCAAATTGGAATTACGCTGGGTGGAACGGCGCTTTTGTAGTACGCATTTTTCCTACTAGGCGAGCACCGAGCAACTTGAGTTAGTGCACCCAGTGGTATCCCCTGGGAAGGTTCTCTCTGGTCACAATTTTTTCATAAAAGCAGTTTCGCTCAAAGCTTGTTTTTTTGATGGCCGAGTTAAGAGAGCAGCGTGTAGCTGTGAAATTTTGTTTCCTGCTTGAGAAAAATGCTGCAGAAACAGTTGTGATGTTGAACACAGCTTACAGACTGCTATGGGAAAAACTCAAATGTATGAGTGGTTCTCTCATTTCAAAAAAGGTGAAATGTCGATTGTTGACAAACCTCATTCTGGATGTTTGTCAACTTCCTGAACGGACGAATGTGTCAATTTGTAGTTCTACCAGGTCAGACTATTAATCACACTTTCTGTTTAGAGGTTCTGAAAATATTACATAACTGTGTATGACAAAAAAAAGGCCTGATTTGTGGTGGAAGGACTGGTTTTGCCACCACGACAATGCACCTGCTCACACAGCCATCTCAGTGTGCCAGTGTTTGGTAAAAAGCAACATGCCTCTCTCGCCCCATGCACCTGACTCACCTGACCTTGCTCCGTGTGACTTGTTTTGGTTTCTGCAAATGAAGAAGGATATGAAAGGACAATGATTTGATGACATAGAAAGGGTGAAGGAAAAAACAAGGGAGGTGCTGTCAGCCATCCAAACAGATACGTTTGAAAAATGTTTCCAAGAATGGAATCACAGACTTGACAAATGTATTATGTGTAATAGAGAGTGCAATTGAAGGTGATAAAGTTGTTTTGTAAAAAGTTTAAAATATATAGCTTTGGAAAAAAATCCAGTTTTGGGGTGATATATTTCCATGTTTTTATCTCCCCGCAAAGAGATACCTTCCCCATACATTTAAAAGCAAGGGTGTTACTTTGAGGACTACAGTGCACCTGACTCAAACCATGGTGTTGCCTTTTTTAACAGTTTGATTGGCATTTAATTAACATATACAATTCAATAGTTCAATCATATGAAGAAGACTTGTACAGTCATTATCACAATTGGTTTTAGAACATTTCCGTCATTCCAAGGCATGGCATTCGCCATGTGAAAGTTGGACATTGCATAAGGAAGACGACTGAAGAAGAATCGATGCATTTGAACTGTGCTAGAGAAGAATACTGAACATGGACTGCTAAGAAGACAAACTGATTTGTCTCGGAAGAAGTAAGGCCAGAGTGCTCTTTAGAAGCAAGGATGGAGTGACCTCATCTTATATCCTTTGGACATGTTCGGAGAGACCAGTCTCATGTTTGGTACAGTGGAAGGGCAGTGAAAAAGAGGAAGACCCTTAAGGAGAAGGATGGACACAGTGGCTGCAGCAGTGGACTCAAGCATGGGAACAATTGTGAGAGTGGCACAGGACCATGCTTCATTCTCTTGTGCATAGCATCGCTATGGGTAGGAACCAATTCCATGGCACTTAACAACTACAACCCCATGCCCTATTCTCCCTTCCTTTCAGCCCCTGGCAAACACCCATCTGTTTTCCATTGCTATGGATTTCTCTATTCTGTATATTCTGTTATCTTTCACTCTAAGCTCATCCATTGTGGTATGTACAAAGACTGCACCCTTTTATGGCTGAATAAAATGCTGTTTGTGTGGATGGACTCCCAATTTGTTGATCCATCCATCTGTTGTTGGACATTTGGGTGGTTTCTACCTTTTACCTATTGTGGACAGTGCTGCTATGAGCCTACCTGTACAGGTACAGTATGCTTTTGAGTCTTTGTTTTTATCCCTTTTGATTATATATGTAGTAGTAGGATTTCTGGGTTATATTGTAATGCTATGTTTAGCTTTTGGAGGAAGAAAACAATAAAAATCCTTGTCTTAATTTCATAGGAGTACTACAAGTGGTTGAGTACAAGCCCCCCCACCAAAAAGAAAAAAACAGAAATAAATTTTCTCATAATTCAGGAAGCTAAAATTCTGAATTCAGGGCACAGACTTGAGAAGAAGGCTCTCTCTGCTCTGGGGGGAGATCCTCGTCTCAGCTTCTCAGTGTTCCTTTGCGAGCTCCCTGTGTGTGCTTCCCCCATGTGTGCTTGCTTGTTCTGTACCCCAAACCCAACTCATTGCCATCAAGTTGATTCCAACTCACGGTGACCCTATAGCACAGGGTAGACCTGCCCCTGTGGGTTTCTGAGACTTACCCTTTATGCCCCGTAGTAGAGAGTTTCATCTTTCTCTATTGGAATGGCTGGTGGTTTCAAACTGCTGACCTTGGGATAAGCAGCCCAACACTGCTAACCACTACCTAATTTCCCTTTTTGTGTTGTAAGGGGATTGATTTAAGGCACACCCAACACTAATATGACCTCACCAGCATAACAAAGGAGAGGACTTCTAAAAGGGGTGATACTCACCAGTAGTGATTGTTGTTAGTTACTGGGAGTGTTGAGAAGCATCTATTTTCTACTCAGTTTGACAACCACCACCCCCACCCCCCACGCACGCAGTAACAGAGTAGAACTGCCCATTGGGTTTCTGAGGCTCTGGTCTTTATCTGAGCAGAGTACTAGACCTGGATTTGAAATGCCAATCTTGCTGTTAACGGTCTGTGTTTGTCTGGGTAGACTAGAGAAACAAATTCACAGAGACACTCATATGTGTAGAAGAAAGAGCTTGATCTAAAGAGTAATTGTACATTAAGAAAGCATCCCAACCTAGTCCAGATCAAGTCCACAAGTCAGATATTAGCCTGTATGTCCGATACCAATCTATAAATTGCTCTTCAGACTCACGCAACACATGCAATGATGCCGAATGCAGGAAGCTCACAGGTCAGTGGGTGGAAAGTCTTGTGGATCCAGCGGTAGTGTAAACATCTCAGTGCTGGCAGGGGTCTCCACATGGCTCCTCTAGCTCTAGGGCTCTCGTTGCCATCAGCAAAGCTCCATGTGTCTTTTTAGTAGAGGGTCTCTCAGCATGTGTCCCGCCTCCAGCAAGCGATTTACGTATCTCCTTTTGTACCTCCAAATGAGGTCATAAAGCTGCGACCTGATTGCCGGGGCCAGACTCTACCCCTTCCACAGGTTGACAGATTATGTAACTGTCACACAGTCAAAGGTTTCAACATTGCGCCACCAGAACTCCTATTCCACTGGTAGTGGGTTTCGAATTTATAGCACAGATTTTGGGTCAAACACAATTCAATACATAGCAATTATGTTGCACTATTTAAAAATAATAATAATGCAAGCAAGTCAAAATGAAGCAAAACCTCAAAAATGGACATAATGGAGGCTCCATCCCCTAGCCTGGCCCATGAGCTTGTGGATACTAGTCTAAGCAGTTTTACCTGATCAGGTAAATTTTGTTGGTGGATTTTGCCCTTTAAATGATTCTCTAGTGTGATAAGATGTTAAGCATATTATCGTATAAGAAAATGCATTTGGCAGGCGCATGCAGGAATGAAATGAGTAATTCTGGTAAACAAATATTAAAAAGCTTCGGGGCTCCACTTGAGCAAATTACAGCTAGCAGATCAAAGGAGACTTCCAGTGAAAAGACCCCAGGAGGGGAGGGAGGTTAAAAGCTGGAATAGGCTGTCCAGGGCGAAGGACCACAAACACAGAGGGAGGGGCTTTAAAATCAAAAAGGATCATTTGACTTAAATGGAAGTTTTCCATTTTAATGATCAGGCTTGCTAAAGTCACTTCTAGTCAAGTGCTGTCGCTTATGCTGTGGGCTGATGATGGATGTAAATAGGGCCCGAAGGAAGGGCACTTCAGAAACACTAAACAAACCTCTCTGGTGTTACCTCATTTTTCCTTTCACAAACTTCCCTTGAACTTAGAATCCAGGCTGCTAATGGTGTGGCCGCTTAGAACGCTGGTGGGGCAATGTAGTCCGAACATGTGAAAACTTATAAGTCCCTTCA